GGTCACAATTTGTCTGCGCTGCTGCTTGGGCGACGCAAACGGCGCGGCTGGTCGTCCGCCTCTTTTCAGGGTTTTGCGCGGCACGTAGCCCACACGGTGGTAGGTGGCCAGATGCTTGACCAGACCCTTGCGGTCCGTGTAAGACTTGTGGCACTTGCGGCACCTGGCGTACGCTTTGAATGGCAGGTGTGTGATCCTGTGCTGCTGGGCATTCTGTATGCCGTAGGCGTTTGTTATGATCTTGGCGCATTCCGTGCACTTCAGCTGGCGATCGTTGATTATCTCAAAGTTGAGCTTCGTCACGTCGTTCATGCCGTGCACCTGCACCACATGGGTGCGCCAGTGCTTCTTCTCGATGAATTCCTTGCCGCACTGCGGACACAGGTAGTCGATGTGGGGCTCATACATGTCATCGCTCCCGATACGGCCTCCCCGCCGCGGGACATCTTCAAAGTGCGGCGACACGTCATCGAAGACGCTCCCGTTTCCATTGTCCTCCCAATCGTCGCCTCCGCCTCCGTCTGTCTTTTTGACGGGTGATGGATCAGGCGAATCTTCGGGCATCAGCGACTCCAGGTGGTGCTGCTTCAGCAGATGACTGACCAGCTCGTGGTGCTCCGTGTAGCCCTTGTAGCACAGCTTGCAGCGGAGCCACTCGGGCTGCGACAGATGCGTGAACTTGTGCGCCCGCAGCGTCTTAATGGTGTTGGGGATGACAATCTGCGGAAAGGTACAGCTCTTTAAGAGGGGCAATCCCCAGGACTAAGCACCTAACTCACCTTCTTGCATTCGAGGCACTGCATCTGCATGTCCACGCTGATGAAGTTGAGCCCCCTGCGACTGACGTAGTCGTGGACAAACTCAATGTGCTGACTCCACTGGGCGTGCGTGTCGCACTCCGTGCCGCAATCGGGGCACATGTAGTGGATGTAATCCTCGCAAAGATCCGCACCTCCATCGCCGGAGGGACCTCCTTGGTAGCGCTTCTTCCTGCGCCTCGGCGGGGCCTCCTCTTCCAGCATAGGTGGCACAGTCTCAGTCTCCGGCTCGAGAAGATCGTTCCGCTCATCATCCTCCTCTGGGAACGGGTCCTTGCGTTGCATTTGTTCTGTGCGCGGCTCCCGCACCCGCGTCTTGCGTCCCGCCAAGTTGAAGCCCTCCCGCATCATGGCCACCACCTCGTCGCAATGGACCATCCTCAGGTGGACCATCAGGTCTTGTCTGCAAAGAATTTCTGCGTAAGTAAGCTGAATCCTTTACGGTTCTCTCGAGGGTCCCACTCACCTGTATTTGTACTCCCGTTTGCAGATGTAGCACTTGGTGCACCTGAACGGCAGATGGGTGAACTTGTGCTTCAGCAGGTTCTCCCGGCTATGCATGGCGATGCGCTTGTTGCACTCCAGGCACCGATGATAGAGCTTGTCCATGGCCATGAAGTTGAGGCCGCGGCGCGTGTTGAACTGGTGCATCTGGTTCATGTGGCGTTTCCAGAGATCCTGCTGCCGGAATTCCGCTCCGCACGCGGGGCAGATGTAGATGACGCCCAGCTCATAGTTGATGGGAATCCCGTTCGCATCGGTTGCATTGATCTGCGAGGTGGTGGGCCGCGTGAGCACGCCCGAAAGACGCCCCTCCTTGGGCCGACCCTGGCTGGCCCTGGGCAGTGAGTGGCGATGCATGGGACGCACAGGCGGCGCGCCAAGTGGACCCGGAGGCGCCAGCAACGGTGGCTGAGCCTGTGGCTCTCCAATGCTTACAATCGGCTCCAGATCGAACTGAAATATGGCATCATCATCCTGATCGGGTTCTTTTGTTTTCCCACTGTCACGGCCGGTCTCCTCCTCCGCATCATCCTCCACATCATTATCATCATCATCGTCGTCCTCCTCCTCGTTTTCTTCGTCCTCGTCGTCGCCATCGCCCTCGGGCAGAATGTCGTCACTGTCGCCGGCGGGATTGCTGTCCAGACCGTTTTCATTCGCATATTGCTCAATCTCCTCCTCCCCCTCCTCGAAGTCTGCCGAGAACATGGACGTCCACAGGTCCATTCCTTCCATATTTGGGAGGAGCTTGTTGTCTGTCTGCCACAACAACAACTGTCTGCGAGTTTGTGTGCGTGAGTTTGGGGGGACCAAAAGTTGTTGTAAGAACTAGTTTTCGTATCCTACGCCGATTTTTCCTGCTGCACCAGCTTATCACCGTCGCCGAAGCTCCTTTAAAGTATCAAGGCCCCCGCCACATCAACATCTTCGCAGTCACGCACTTCGCGACAATTATTCTAATTGCATTTCACTTGCAAAATTAAAATTAAAATTGTTGCAAAAATTCAAAATTTGTCTGCAAAAATCACAGTCAGTGTGACCGCGGATCAATAAAATATACCGCCCGACTCTCAGAAATATACCAAGATATACCGTCGCATTTTCAAAATATACCATAAATATACTGACAAATTCAAGTTATATTATACATATTCCTCGTTTTTCATATTCCGTTGAATATTACTAGCTATATAGAACATTTAGCCATGCCCACATAATTTTAGCCCATTGATGAATCAATTTTCTACACAATTGGTTAGTTTTTAATCCTTGCTTTTACTGTATTTTGGCTAAAACAAGGTTTAAACAAAATAGGTAAAAAAAAACAGTCGCAATGTTGCTGGTATTTGAAGACGTGATGCGTGTATAGCTCTTTGTACACCCTATTTCGCTAATTTTGTATGAAGATCCAACGTAATTTATTAAGACCTTTTCTCAAATTGACATTCTTTAGACATATTCAAGTACATTATTAGTATCTTGTATATATTTATGTCGATCCTGAAACCTATTGAGCCTTGGAAGACAAACGTATTCACAATCTTATATCATCCATTTCCCCCAGGGTATGTGTGCTTGGAACTAGCAACATGTTTGTGTATGGAATGAGACTCATTGTTGCAAAAGCGAAACTGCGGCGAATCGGGTATTGCCTATATTTCAAGCTATATATGCCCACTTAGCTTTATCCCATAGATAAATGCATTTTCTACAAGACTGCTTCTTTTAATTACCTTTATGTATTTTATTTTGACCAAAAAACGGTTTTCAAGTAAATGTTGCCGCAACATTTGTGTTGCTAAAGCGAACTGGGGCGAACTGCGGCGAACTCAAATTCGATTCAAAAAACGACCAATTCTTTGTTCCGTTGAATAATACTATCTATATGGAACATTTAGCCATGCCCACTCAATTTTGTACGATTGATGAATCAATTCTATACATGATTGGCCTATTCAAAATACTTGCTTTTATTGGATTTCTATATAACATTGAAAATGAAATTAATAGATTGATGAAATTGACAAAAATACCATGGGAGCGCGGCGAAAACCAGTATTTCTACAGTATGACCCTCAGAACAGCACCAAAATATGCGGTCTCATTTAAAAAATATACCGTAAATAACGTTAGCGAGTATGGAATCAGTGTTGCCATTTTAGCCTATTTAAGGCTAGATCTAGCTTATTTGAAAACGGAAAAGCTTGAAAAATTATGAAAATGCTTATAGCCTTAAATCTAGCCTTTTTTAATTTCACTCTGTTTATGTTTGCCTTTTTATATCCTACATATATTTTTAGGCAAATCAAACAAAAAGTATACATATTTGTACATATTTTAATGTATCATGGTATTTTAGAATTCATTTATGGTATATTTTCGTTGAAAAGTTTCGGTCACTACTACACAGAAACTTAGCGATCGTGTGAAATGTGTAATTGTGTAAAATTGAGGTGCAAAGATTTTATAAAGGAGCTTATTATCCAACTCAGAGAAAGGTAAGCTTCAATAGGATTTGATATTAAAAATAAATAATAATCTGCTGTTTAATTTCAGACTTCCAGATAATTTTGAGACATTGGAAAAACTGCAAGTTTTTGCAGCAGAAAATGTACTCGAACATAAAAAAAATCCTAATGATCTCATTTCCATATTGGATGACACTATAAAGCTTTGGTCAGAAGTACTGACTTATAAAGATGCTGGCAAAAACAAACTTCTTGAAGAAATCGGGTTATTTGCCATTGAAAGTTTAAGTCCACCGTGGTCAAATCCTGCCATTGAACGTGTAGTCAGTCAAATAAATATCGTTAAGACCAAGCTTAGGAACAAAATTACTGTTACATACTTAAACTCAATATTAAATATAAGGTTTGTTTTAGTAATATTTGAATACGAATTTGAATTTGAATATGAATACGACTATAATTCTTTTGAATTTTACAGATATGAATTGCGCCGTCATGGCAAATGTTGCCACAACTACCAATTACCGGAGAAATATTTAAATTTAACACGTTCCAGCGATAAATATACCGATTCGGTAATAGCGAGTTGGATAAAATTATAACACAATTAGAAATGTGTATATCTATGTGTTTTTTTATTTTTAGCCTATTTTTTGGCCTGTTTTTACAATTTTTAGCTTGTTTTAGCTTGTGTTTTTGTGAAATCTAGCTTATTTTGACGATCAAAATCTGGCAACACTGTATGGAATACGCCGAAGCCGAAGCCTAAAACAAGAGACCAACTCCCACCAAACTTGACCGCCAAAAATTTAAATTGTTTAAAGGTGAATGAGCAAAAAGTTCTTAAATGCTAGTACGATTTGAGAGCGAAAATTCAAAATACCTTCGTATGGTTATTGATCAAATACCATAGATAACATACAATAATTCCTAATGCTGCAAATTTTTGGCGATAAAATTCTAATGAATCCAATAGGAAAGTGTATGAAATTAAGACACTTTTTATTGTCTGAGTTCAGAGAAAAAAAATGTCCACAATTTTTCTATATTTAAAGATAAGCAGTACCCCGCGACTTTTGATAGTGGCAAAATAATCCAGCTTTGCGGCATCGCGCCTAACTGATAAATCGCTTCTATCGATTTATTGAATTCAAATGACACCATCGCCCGCCAAAGCCCATATTCAAAACGTGATTTGAAATGCAACTTGTGCAATGCACATTATGTACGAAAAGATTTTTATTGAACAAATATTCGGGTTCGAATTCGCTTTGTATTTTTACACTTAATTAGTACGTGCAGGCGTACTGTTAAATTACATATGTAATATGTATGTATGTAATGTATATTATGTACGAGTATGTATTGGGTGTATGGGTGTATGGGTGTGAGGGGGGTGGGTGGCAATGATGCGGTTGGTATAAATATAATGTTTTAGATGTGTGTCGCGGCGTGTAGTATTAGTACATTATTGATGCAACTATAATTAAGAGTGTCCCACATGACACCGCACGTGTTCCGTTCCGATTCATCCAGAATCCAGAAGGTTTTTTCCATTGCAGGGCAGGGTTGGGGTTCTGTTCTTGTGGTACACGACATTTATAACAGAATTATCTTTTCTGTTAATTATGGAGTAAAGTGCTGCAAAAGTGCCGGCTGATTAGGTGTGCTGTTGAGTACGCAGTGCTGAACGATTTGAGCAAATGTTTTGTGTCCGTTGTGGTGTCTGCTGCCAACCCTTTCTTGTTCAATTCCAGCTCGCTGATGAGGCCTGATTTCTGCCGATGCTAGTTTCCATGCTCCATGTGTGCAATGTATTGGTATGTTTGGTTAATCGCGTATATATCATGTAGGGGGTGTAGTGGGTATTAGAACTGTGTTTTTTTTGTTGTTTGTCGTTTGTTTCTCTTCTTGGTGTTGTGTTGTGGCGCCCCATGTCGCTCGCTTGTGCTGGGACTTGGGCAGCGTCCCTTTCCATTACCAGAGTCCCGACGAGTAGCCGCCCGGGGGCACACGGTTCTTGTTGACCACCGAATTGCCACCGTTGTCCCCGTTGCCGACGCTGCCGCTATTGGTCGAGCCGGCGGCCTTAATGTAGTCCGTTCCTCCGGCCCTGTATCCCTCGCCGGTCACGGGATTTCCCTCTGTTGAGTAGAGAACAAAATAAATGGGGATTAGTAAGGCACTAAAATGGCAGATTGCAGTGTAGGCTAAGCCTAGCTAATTCTAAGCGCATTCTCAATCTACTTGTGGAAGCTAAGGCGATCTTTGGAGGATACTCCTCCCAAGAGATCTACGATCCTCCAGAGATCGCTCAGGTGGAGCAAAAGTGCAGGTGTCGGTGTAGGTGTAGGAGCTCGACCTCGAATCTTCTGCTTCACGGGCTTGAGGCCACCCACTCCGTCCCCGTTGAGGCCCAGGCCGGTGATGGGATTACGTGCATTGCACGGACCATGCACCTCCTTCACATAATCCGGGCAGAGGGCCAAGGGCTCCTTGAGATTTGCGGTGCTGCGCATCTTTTCCAGCGAGTGGGGCTGCTCTACGTTGCTTCCCGAGTCTCGGCGCGTCTGAATGTTTACGTCGTGCTTGCCGGTCTCCGTGTAGATCTCGTTGTCCTTTGGCACGTCACCAACTTCGAGGTCCAGGCACGGCAGGTCGATGCCAAGAACGTCGGCTGGTGGGGGTGCAGCTGCACTTGCTACCGGTGTCAGGGGACACCCGGCTGTATCGGTTTTAGTTTGTTTCGATTTCTCGTTATCTTCCACACCTAATGGCAGGCGGATGAAGGGGATGGATGAAGGATGCCAGGATGCCAGGATGCAGGTGGGATGCAGGCAGGACAGGACTTGTAATGGTACTGGCACTACTGGTTCTGATACTCACTGCTCATATTGCGTATGTAGACTGTTGCAAGAAGCCCGGACAAACGACCACCGATGATGCGATACGATTCGATTCGATTCGATGCAAGAATTTATTTTGTTTTTCGTTTCGATTTTAGTTGTGCATGTGCCAGGCGACAAAAAGCCCCGTATGTTTTAGAAAATATTAAACAGAATTTTTACTTATATTTCCACACACTTTTTTGTTGTTTTTTTGTCACACAACCAAAAAAAATAACCAAAAATAATAATCAGAGACCGATGTGAGATTCTATTTCGTTCGTTGTGCCTCGTGTGAGACTACTGACTACTGAACCAAAAACCCCAGCAAATGTGGGCTCCCAAGTCTTTGACGTACGAAACTTGGACTACTTTTCTGCGTTTCTACTTGTAGTTGTGTTTGTTTTTGATCGAAGCCCTAAAGGTGGGTGGGGTGTGGGGTGTGTGGTGTGTATTACCTGATCGGGAGCCACTGTTCATCTTGAGGTTCTCGGTCGAGGACGACACTGACGACGAGGCCGAGGACACGGATCCGCTCTTGCCATTGTATTGGTGTCCATTGGTGGTGTTGGCGGTGCTGCTGCCGTTGGTCAGCAGCTTCTGGGCAGCAGCGGCTGTCTCTGTGTTCTGGCCAAAGGGAATGCTGCTCTTCATGTGGTTCTTGCCGGGTGTGATGGGGCGCATGGGCTCCCCAAAGAGTCGAGAGTGTGAGTCGACGGGCTTCTGGCCGCGACGCGGATTATCACCTGTAGTACAGCATCATCATCATCATCATCAATGAAAACGATCACCAAACGGAGGAAAAACAAACACGAGGAATAACAAAAAGAAACAAAAGATATTCGAAATTAGTGGATTGTTGGTTCGAGCGGTAAAGTTTGGTTATTGTTCTACGAAACAGAGTGGGAGGAGGTACAAGAGTGGACAACAGTGGATCAGTGGGTGAGTGGGTGAGTGGAGTGAATGGATTGCCTTGAGTGTGGTTTTTGCTCCGCCTCTAGTATCTGAATGCATTCAAAATGTCATCAGCAGATGCAAGGAGGAGGAGGTGGAGGAGGAGGAGGTGGTGGTGGAGGTGGCGTGTGGTCGAGTGTGGGAAACTGGTTTTTGCAGTGTTTCGGAGATGATCTCCCTCCTCCTTTTGGGTACTGTGGATTATGGATTACGGACAAGTGTTTCAGTGATGGCGTGGTGGGATTTAGGTGCTGCTCCAACGGAGGGAACTTGCATTTTGGGGAACACACGAAATTAGCAACGAAATGAACAACAACAACGGAAAGAAATGAATGACAAACAACATATATAGGGAGTATGTATTCTCAAGTACCAATGAAATAGAATCTGTGAGCTCCTTGTCGTACTGCAAAGATACGTAGAAAAGACAAAAAAGAGAGAAAACAGTAGAGCGGGGGGAGCAAAAGAAGGAGAGGGGGGAGAACGAGAACAAGAAAACGATAGACATTTCAATAAGCATCTCCAAGGGGGGATGGGGTTCCCCCCCCACATCACAAAACACAAAGGGAAAGGAAAGCACAAATAAATAAGCTTTTTTCGGGGGGCCACTGGACATGGATGGGGAGCACAGCTATTGGGGTGGGGGGTTATTGGGACTTCCATCTCCGTCCTTCCACTTACCAGTATTCTTCACGCTATTGTCCTTCTCGACGGAGAATATGTTGGACACCATGCGGTTCTTCACGTTCCTGGGGGTCTGCGGCATATCCGATCCGAAGATGTCGCTGGAACCGCCGCCCGGAGGCCTGAGCACCCTGCAAGACAAAGAGAAAAAGGAAAACTCATTAATTACAAACACATTCTTTGGGTTTTCCGCGAACGCGCGCACAGTAATTGTTATGGCACAGTGCATAAAGTGCAGACAATTTCCACGCTCTCTGCTTTCGGCCAGTGGCAAATTATGAGAGAGAGATAGAGAGAGAAGAGGAATTGCACTTAATGTCTGTGTCTAAACGTCATCACGCAGGGAGACGGAGAGCGAGAGCTTTTGCTTTTGCTATGGCTCTGGCTGGATGAGCACTCAATGGGCATTAGGAGTCACGGCAAGATGCATCTCTCTCTCTCTTTCTCTCGCTGTCTCTACTTCTCTCTGCTTCAAGCCGCATTGCAATTAAGTGGAAATTCAGCTGAAAGAATTGCAATGCCACACTGGCTTGAAACAAAAGGCTGGAAGAAATGCTAGGCTCTGTGTGGCCCCACGTTAGCTCTGGTCCGAAACCCAGCCACAGTCCGGATCGGAGATGATAGACAGCCTTTGGGTTTCCATCAAAGTAATGACTTGTGTAATAATTATCCAATTGAAATGATTTTTGGTAGATAAAATTGCCAAATCCCTATATCTTTTGCTTTCCCCCCCTCCCCATTGTGGGGCACATTTTCAATGAAATTGTTAATCGCGCAAGCGTGCCGCCTAGCGTGCTTTTACCGTTGTTGCTGTTGCTGTAGCGGCGGCTATCGGCTGGGGGTGGGGGGTACATATCTGTACGATATATCTGTGAATGGTTTCTGTGAATGCATTTCCACAGCCCCCAGCCCCCCAGCATGAGACGTCAATTAAACTCTGCCGCAGCAAAAGCAGCAGCCGTCAAGACCGTCTACTACCGACTGCTGTGGCACATGCCCCCTCTGGCACGGAAAGCCAAAGACCATTCAAATCACTGGAGCTTTCAGTAAGCTAAAAAGACTGCGTTTTTATGGACCATCTAGCCACGCACTGCCCCGACCACCGCAGGAAAGTGAGAGTAAAGTAAGTTTGGTTCGTCTTTGGAGGTAATTAACCAAAATTGCATTGTAATTACTGTCGATTACTGCAGCTTACGACGATACTTAGGGAATGCCACAAATGTAACAATCAAGAAACTCTGCTGTAATAGTAATTATAATCCGAAAATGAGCCACCGAAGGGCAGGAGCAATGAGAAAGAAAGCCACAGATAACCCCCCAGCCCTGAAGACCGACCTATGATTAAGTGATGGCGATTCAATTAAATGTTGGAAAGCTTTCTGAAACGAAGAAGACGGGCGCACGCCTCTTCCTGCCTGGTGGAAAAAGTGCAACCCAATTGCTGCGCCTCTGCCGGAAGAGAGCATGGAGCGTCGGTGCGGTGCGGTGCCTAATTAATTACACAGCCAGGCACTGCTTCATTGTTTTCTCTTCCCCCGAAATAAGTGGGAGCGGGAGAGGAAGAGCAACAGCCGTGCTAAACATGACAAAGCGTCAAAGCGCAAGCCGCAGAGGCAAAATAACCGTTAAATGTTTGGTGTCGCAGCAGCAGCAGCAGCGGCACCGGCAGCGGCAGCAGCAGAGGTTTTAAAGTGTGAGAACTGCTTTTGAAGAGAGAATGAGAGTGAGAGAGGATGAGATATGAGGTGTATTCAAAGCAAGGCATGATAATAAGAGGGTATGCATGTGCGTGAAAGCTGCCGCTGCAGGACCTATACCTATGCGCATAGCCCAATTAGTGCCTCACCTTCCGTTTAACATAGTTTTGTGTAGAGGTGTGGTGGGAAATCAGCAGGCAGAGCAGCAGGCAGAGTTCGGCTTGAGTTGGTGTGTGGGGTAATTGTGATCATAACTGTCACCACACGCACGCACACACACACACACTCCACACTCTCTCCATCTCTCTTTAACAGTGTTCTTATTAAAATGTCTTCAAAAGGCTTGTTAGGACCGGCAGCGGAGCGTGAACACCTCTCTTCCCAGACAAAGACTTGTTTTCATTATTTTCTTTTTTTGGCCAGAGGAAAAACTAACAGAGCAACGGTAAACGGGCAATTTTTGCGCAAGTGACGAACAAGTAATAATTATTTAAACAGTTAAGCCACCGCACCGCACCGCACCGGCAACCAGAGACGCCACACTCTCATGCCACATGCGGCATGTGCATTGTACTAGTACTTTGCGGCGACCCGGCATCTTTTGTGGCGGCCCGATCGAGTGGAAAGCGAAAGTTGCTGCCGCCACATGCGGCGGTATGCCTTATGCCCCATGCCCCCCTCCCTCCCCCCGCCCGGTGCATCATGTGATCAGGCATCATGCTCTGGCCAATGCTATTGCTGCTGGCAGCGATATGCTGACAATCCTAATGGCCTCCAACTTAACTGGGTTATGGTTTATGGCTAATTACCATGCCATTATCCACTGCGGGCAATCCACCAATCCCCCAGTGAAGCCAATGCAAAGGTCAAGCCACTTGACTCCTTCGGTGTGGCACCGCTCCTCTCTGCATACCCCCCACTCATGCATGGCCTGTGGGTTCTGTGTTCTACCGGAGAAAGTGTCACGCTGTGTCTGGCTTCCGATTACCAGGTACTTTCTTTGGCTTCTCCCTTGGGCCTAGGGAGTGTGTCCCACCCGTACAGCCCCATGGGTTAATTCTTTTTTAACCCACTTGCTGTTTTCGTTGTTTTTGAGTTTGACTTTTCCCCTGGGAACCTCTCAATTTTCCTTCAAATTGAAATATGAGCCAAATCGAACTGTGGCGAATGGAAAAGTGTCACCCCCTCCTGCCTCGTGGCCCCCTGCCCCCTGGGTAAAGTGATCTTAACTGAGAAAAACCTTTCACACACAAAGAGCCTGGGGGGGCACTGCGACAAAACCTGACCGCTAGCCAGGTGGAGGCCAAACCGCCGAGGCCCGAGTGCCTGCGAGTGCAGGAGTGCAGGTGGCTCTGAAGAGTGGCCTATCCTGTGGCTTTGTCTGGTCTTTTGGTGATGACAAAAATTAATGTATATCGACGACAGAGCACAGGAGGATAGGAGGATGGGAGGATCGGAGAACAGGGGGCTGAGGCACTGAGTCTAGGCGAAAGGTAGGTGCAAGATGTTGCAAGCAGCTGGGACGCTGGGAAGCTGGGAGTGAATTTCGAAAAACAACCTTTTTTCGGGTAAAAGTTGTTCGGGGTCTCGATGCATATTCCCGCTGAAAAATACTCGACTCAAAGTGATAGTTGTCGCTCTGATTTAGTTTTAGTTTTAGTTATAGTCTTAGTTTAGTTGGTGTTTGGTATCGACGGGCTTTCTGCCTCTCTGCCACTTCTTCTGCGTCGTCACGGGGCTTTAGGGTATTTTCGTCTTTCCTCTCTATTTTTTTTTTCGTTTATTTCTTTTGCTATTTCCTTTCTTTCCTTAACTGCTGTGATAATTGTTTCCACACACACACACCACAAACATACGATCTATCCATCGCTTTCCCAAACGCCTTTCCACCAATTAATTATTACACCAAGTGGGCGTGGCCCAAGTCCAAGTTCGACATTTTTTGCCTTTCCACATTTTTCGATAGACACTCAATTTTTATTATTATTACAGCAACAAAAATAGGTACGCTAAACATTATGAAATTTCATGAACTTTCTAGTGTTTCATCAGATGCGTTGCCACCCCTTTACAGATCTCCAGATGTTCGGGGAGGTTCGAAGATTCGAAGAAGTTTTGCTGGGCTGTGTTTTTGCTAAGGGCGAGAGAGGAGAGAGGGCGAATTCGCTTCTAGGCGAATTCCCAATCAGCACAGGAGAGCGAAGGCAAATTCGCTTCTGGGCGAATTCCCAATCACCGCAGGAGCGAGCGAGCGCGCACTTGAGATCGCAAAGCAAAGAACGAGCGAGGGAGGGCGAATTATTGAGAGCACGAAGCAGATCGGCGAGAGAGCCGCCGAAAAAGCTTCCAGCCAGCCTCGCCGCCGACGAAAGGGTTTGCGCAGTTTCTTGTGCTATTATATTTCTGTATTTAATCTCTAATTAAAACTTTATCCCGTATTAATAAGGAAAAACCCCACTGAAGACATTGACAAGCTCCTCCTCCTCCTAATCTTCATAGACGTCAGCGGCGGGAATTCATTACGACAGTTTTCTAATTAACCAACTGTCAAAAATGCATTTTGCTTCACACGAGTAAAAGTGGAAATCGAAAGATCTTCATCTACCCTCTTTCCCCCCCTCCCCACCCACTGCTCGGTGGAAAAGTGGTTAAAGTTTTTCGAGTATTGACAGCATGTGGGAAAGCGAGTCTGCCGCATTTGGAGCAAAGCAAAGAGCATTTGGAGCATTAAGAAGCTTACGTCTCGGAGGAGATTCCAACGGTAACAAAAGTTTCAATTTCATCAAGAAAATCTCCGTCTCCGTCTGCCTTGCTGTCAACTCTGTCTGGTGCTTCGAGCGAGGAAAAGACAAGTCTCTGAAGAGATTGGATGGTGGATGGTAGATGGAAGTCTTACCGTCTGGCGGCTCAAAAGCTAATTTGTTTTTTGGCTAATGCCTGACCAAAGCAGCAAAGAGGAGTGCCACAGACAGAGGCATGTCTTCTCTCGGAGGCTGGGCGGATGCCTCATGTCGTTTTATAATGAAGTTGCCTGTTGCCGCTGCCGTTGAGGTTGCAACAGGGGTTGCAACTAAACAAAAAAACAAAACACATGCAACTTGATTAATTGCAATTGATTTTTATGACTCTGTTTGGACTGTGTGCTCAAGCTGTGGGACTTGTGATTCACTTTGTGTATGCCACAGGGACAGAGAGAAAGGTTGCAAGGCAAGCGGAGTCTGGTTGTGGGTTTTCCCTGCCATTAAAGGGTCACCACTGAGAGATTTTCACTTGGAATGGAATGGAATGGAATGCCCCTCTCCGCTCCGCTCCACTCCTCCCTTCTGACCGATCATGCAATAAAAATCCACAATTTACTGCCAGCGGAGGGGAGCGGAGACTAGCTTTTATGATTGGTCCATAAACCATGAGGCAGGCAAGGCAGCAGCCATGTCATGCTGCACTGCACCTGTACATCGGAGGCAGGAGTTGGATTCACTCTTCTGTCCAGTCCAGTGGGTTGGCTGGCTGGTTGTTCCACTTGATTCGTTATTCACTCTGCCACTGCCACTGCCAGTGGTGCCCCTGCCACTGCCAGTGGTGCCCCTGCCACTGCCAGTGCTGCCCCTGCCACTGCCACTGCTCCATGCAGATGTCCGGGTAATTGTTTAGTGTTTCTCTCTGGTGCACGCTGCACTGTGGCTCTCCGTTTCTGCTTCTGCTTCTGCTTCTCTTTTGTTTGCTGCTCATTTATTATGATTTTTATTTTGGGGGCTTGTTCGGCCTCAGGGCTCATTACGCTGCAGCGCGGCAGTGCCACACTGTTGCTTCCTTTTGTTTCATCGGTCCAGTCTGCAGACAGAGCTTCGTGCAACCGCAAACACACAAACACACACACACACAATTACAGACACAAAAACTTAATGAAAATTTCAACTGAAGCACGAAAATTGTGTGCGGTTTTCCTCTATTGTAGCTGTGATGATGATGTTGTTGTTCCTGTGGATGATTGTCTCTCCCCCTCCCCCTTCCTATTTTGTGATTTACCTAAAAACGTTGATTAGAGCCAGTCCACCAATCCATTCATTATAATTGTTGCTGCTTCCCAAAAGCAAAGCAAACAAAAGACCAGAAATATTGAAGAATCTGCTGCTTTCCCCCAAAGCCATTGGGGCATGCGGCATGCTGCAGGAGGGGGAGCGGCACTGGAGTGGCAGGAGATCGCTCAAGCGCGGTTTACCGTTTACCGTTCGATTTCCACCACTCCAAAGCTCTTTTCAGCAAAACTAATAATCTGTGGCATGTGGCAGCATTAGGATGAATCAACATTAATGTAGATGGAGAAAGCCCATCGATATGATCCATAGAAATGTGGCTTGAGAGTTGGATATATCTACAGAGGAAGATCTCTAGAATGATTACGCCGCTCATCCGAAAGTGCTGATTGGCTAGGCATTTCAGAAAGAGTCGCTGGATAGAGTGTTTCCTCTGTATAATCTCTGTTTAGGATTATAGTCGTCTAAAGATTTAACAATTCCAATGAATCCAAGCCCCAACTATGATAGCCTTTAGCTTCCACCTGGGAATTACCACCACCCCTTGCTCCCTCTCGCATTTCCCAGATAAAGAAAGCCATCATTCAACTGAAATTTGAATGCCAGCTCTGGAGCTCCACGCACTCTCCACTTCCTTTGGCATTCGCCAGTGTTCCAGGCGCTGTCAGCAGGAGGGAGGAGCGTGACGTGACGCAGCTCTGAAGATGCCACAGCGGGTGGCATAGGAGTCATAGAAGGTGTGTGAGTATCGTGTATCACTGAGGTGTTTTTGATTAATGGAATCCAATGCCCCTCTTCCGAATCAACATCTCAAAAGTCACTCCACTCGCTCAGGAGCGAGCAGCCATGGGAATACACGATGAAAATTCATAATTGGACTCCGACTCCAACTCCAACTCCAACTCTGCGGAGAGCTGCAGTTTCCATCTCTCTCTGGTGGAAATATGCTTCTCTAAGCCACCGCGCTAGATTGTCAATTATCGATAGTGTTTGCCCGATGCCCGATGCCTGATGAATAATTATCGATTAGAGCTGTGGCAAAGGAAAGTGTGTGCTGGCGCGAGAGGAAAAGTTGCAGCCACATGCATGTGGCATGTTGTTTGTGGCACTTTTATTATTATGTATATGCGTATGGGTATGCTTAAACTGTGGGATTGGCTGGCTTTGGCTCCGTAAATTTTTGCGAGCAGAGCCCATATCCATATCCATATCCATTGCCAGAATTGCAGCAGCAGCGAAAGTTGTCTGTGTCTTTCTTTTAAATATGTAATTAATAAATTTGTATTGATTAATTTGCAAGCGGGAGAAGCTATGGCTATGGCTATGTCTATGGCTGTGCGAAAGCGAAAGGACTTTCTAATATATTCCATTCCCGACTGGGGCTGCTCCTCCCGATCAAAATGCTCTTCTCATTCAGGCACCAGGCACCAGGAGGCACTGTATCCGTATCTCTGTATCTGTATCTATACATACATGACGTTGCTAAGGGAACTCCGCTCTGCTGCCAAACTTATTTCCGTGTCAACAGGCATTACATTGACGCAGGCAAATTTTCTGTGATTTCCTTTTTGCGGCCTCGCCTCAATGGGTCATGCCCCACGAAAATTTGTTGACTATTTCTCATACAAATGAGTTTTGTGCAAATATTTACATACATAAATGTTGACTTGGCAACGCAGAAGGCACACATTTCTTATATTATATATAATTATTGGTTAAATTTCTTCTTCGAAGTCCCTCGAAATGGGGTTACGCCGTAAAAATAATTAATATCAACATGTATACGGTATCACGGTATACGGTGCTTTGTACAAAGGAATTCAAGCGTATAATGATCGCCGTACTGTTGTAGACAATGCCATAAACCGAATCAACTGTCATGATTTCCGCCGCTTACACAACCCCCACCACACCCCACCCCCCACCCCGCACACCCCTCAAACAAAAGGGGGCCCAACAGCTCAATCCCCAAGGCAGGCGCCCAATGCAGCCAGCCAGTCGCACCTTTGGAATTTAATTTGATTTGTTTTACAATATAATAGATCGAAAGAAGGAAACAAATCTCGACAGACGGACGGTTGGATGGATGGAAAGAAAGATTAATCATTTTCCACACACAGCGGGAAAGTCAGTCATGGAAAAATGGGAAATCAAAGAGACGCCAATCGGCATTGCAATGGCAATCAATGACAATGATTAACACATTTCCATGGACCATAAAACGAAACAACGTCTCAGGCAAATTGTTTTCTGAATGCACATGGCATACATTTATATCTGCTATATCTACACGGAAAATTATTTAGAGACCAGCACTAATCTGGTAAGCGGCGGGACGGCCTGCAAAACAGAGGGTTCAATGCACTGACAGACAGTCAAGCGGCGGACAGCAGACAACGGACAACGGACAGCGGACAGTAGAACGTACAGTAGAGCAGGGAACGGAACAACAGAGGCATTTTGGTAACGATTTTTGTTGCCTTGCCAGTCGAAAGGCAAGGCAATGGCCATCCTCCTTATACACCTTGTACCGGCACAACCCAACACGGGGGGCACAGGCACACCTCCTCTCCCAGTCATTCCGCCAGTGAGGTGACGGGTGGATGGGTGGTGCCACGGGAAGGGGCTTGGTCAAAGAATTGCAAGCTTGAAACAAAGGAAAAACTTCGGTCGGACTCACAAAAAAGAAAGGTGCGCTCTCAAAAGGTGCGAGTGCGAGTCGAAGCATGGGATACCCTTTGAAACATATCTTTTTTGGTTAATTCTGAAAGTAAATCAAGTACAAGTTCTAAGCAAGAGATCCTTTAGGGTTCTGTCCTCCTCCTTAATTTGCATTTTCCTTTGTGCAACTTCTGTGGCACCACATAACAAGGAAAGAGCTTTCTTTGTGCGCTTTCTTTCGAGTGGGGGGCAGCCCTACTCCCTGTTATACCCTGCCCCAAAAGAATGCCGCGGCCCCTTTGACTTTGGTTTGGGGTGCAGTGGGCAAGAAGTAGGAGCAGCCGTGGGGGCTTGTTGGCAGGTGGCAAGTGGCAAGTAGAGGAGGAAAATCAATGAGACATCCAAAGAGTGCCAGCAGCTGGTCGGTTCGGCACTTGGGCACTTTGGGGGCCCAGTGGCTGGGTGGTTGGGTACTTGGGTGGTGGGAAGTAGGCGCCGCTTGCAAAAGTGGTTCTCTTCACGGATTACACATACGCCAGCCAGCCAGCCAGTCAGCCAGCCAGCCAACACGTACGTGGTGTTGTTGTTATTGTTTTTTGCTGGTTAGTTACTTAGTGAGAGGTGAATGCACGCTAAATTAATCTCAGAGGCACCAGCACACACAGATACACACACAGATACATGCATATTCATACAGATGTGTGTGTGTGTGTGTGTGGTGGAACGCTAGATGCAGTTCAAACAATGATGAGATGATTGAAGACTTCTGCAATCTGGGCAAACAATATGTACGGGGCAAACATAGGATAACGGTATTTCGGCAGGCACCATCCGAAAGCTCTCTCTTACCTTTTCTTGGCTTTGCCCACGTTGTAAAGCTCGACGTGTTTGAATGCAGCATAAGCGGCCATTGCTGATTGAATGCGGATGGTAGGTGGGGCGGTGGGTGGACAGAGAAGTCGAAAGTTTGTTCTGTTTTTTTTTTCCAAGAAGAGCTACGCTTACAGCTGCCCTATTTTTGTGCACCACAAAAGATCTAAACGAACCGAGGAGGAACGGGAGGTTAGAGAGATGCCGGGCGGAGGCGGGAGAGAGGGGGGAAAATGTTGCAGCGATGACTCATGGGGATGCTGCCAGTGGCTGGGCCTGTGCCAGTGCGTAAAATCAATAAAATCCCGTATCACGTAGGAATGGAGGAATGTGCAAGGAGTCTGTGCACAGACGCAGCAGCACACGAAAAGAGCGTGAGGCAGGACCGGACGAACGAATGAGAGAGACAGAGAGAGCGGATGAGGAATCGGAAGTTAGATAAGATGATTCAGCAGCAGCAGGACTCAGCAGAATTTTTGCAACATTTTTCCCCCTAGTCCCCAGACCCCCATCCCTGCTCCAGGGGCACACTTTTCTTCACTAACAAAGTAAGCTCCAACTGTGGAAACACACACACGGCGCGTCACGGGAACAACAAATTTTCGGTTCGAAGGATATGCGGAACTGCAAATGTGTTCGGTGCTCGGTGCTCGGTATTCGGCTTTCGTTATTCACGGCGATTTCTGCTGCTGATGTGAACGGGTCGGTCTTAGGTTGCGATTTAAAGTGCATTCGGAAAAGTGAAAAGCATTTTATACCACGGCAGCAGAGGCGCAGCAGAGCCCGCAGCAGAGGCCGCGCAGCAGCGGCAGCGAGAAGTTTTATCGATCCAAAAACAACGACCAGGCGGCCGCACGAACCCAACTCTCGCTCCGAGAGAGCGCACAAGCCACAGAAAGAGAGGGAGCACCAGCTCCGAGCGCAGAGTATATCAAGCCGAAGGTGGAGGCAGTGGCATATACGAACTGTGGGGAGTGTGAGCGCTCTTTGGAGCTGTCTCACCCAGCAAGCTACGAGCATGTGGCGTGGCTCATCAAAACAAAAACAAACTACAGCTGATTCAAGTGGAGTTGCCTCTCTCTCCAACTCTCTGGTGCGCACTGCCCTCTCTTCACCACACTCCTCACTTCACCACACTGCCGTGTGGTAGGTCACCTAAAAAGAAGAATCTCTCAAGCTTACGCTCCAAGAACACCTGCGGGATTAAAATTTCGCCTGGTTTTACGAGTACTACTGTGTGTGCAAAAATATGCGCAGATATGCTTCAGTTCAGCTTTTCCACTGGCAAAACCGAATGCGGAGAAAAACTCAAGCAGCAGCAGCAAAAAATAGTTCAGGTCTAGTGCACTTCAGGGTTCCTATGCAATTGTTTTCCTCCTCCGCTCGTCCCCAACACACCTCTACTTCATGTAGCAGCAGCAGCACTCAAGATGCTGCTCTGTTTGCCGGACGTAAATCACTTTCATCATCAGCGAGGATCGAGGTACAGGGGCAGAGGCCGAGGGGGTTTGCGGCCAGCAGCAAACTCTAATTCCAAATGTCTTGCCACTAATGAGGCCGGTCCGTTGCAAGCAGCAGAAACCAAATGCAAAATATATTTGCATACTTCGTTTGCCTCTTTTCTTGGAACAGAACACAACATTTGGCACAGATCTCTCTTCCACACAGCTGAACAGCTGAACAGCAGAACAGGAAGCCAGAACCGTCCGACGACCGACGGCCGACGGGGTAATGGAGGTTATTTTTAGCTTTTTGGTAGGGAAAACCAGAGGAAGAGTTGACTGGCCTAGTGGATGCATCGCACCGCACCGCACCGTCTGCAACCTGACACCGGCAGCCAGCCATGCCACTTGCTCCTCCAATCCCCACCCCTGTCCCCAATGTCCCGCTCTTCTGTCAGCACCAGTATTGGCAGTAGTCGTAAAAGCCTAGGCGTAATGCACTTGCAACGTGGCAGACACAAGCCCACTCCATGCGGGTAAAAATAGGCGGGAAGACCTAGTACTCCTACTCCTTTCCACCACCCATATCTTGGGCCACGTAGTGCTCTATCGTGCAAAGTATCGACTAGAAAAGTGATTTCTTCCACCATCGGCTGTCGCCAGTGTCGCCTCTCATTCGGGTTCGAGTGTAGTAGAGTGCATTGGAACATGCCCTCTACACTCTCCTCTCCTATGTCCATCCTCTGCGTCTGTCTCTGCCTCTGCCTTTCGAGTGTATTGGCAGCGTATGGTGTGTGTGTCTAATCTCATCGAAAGCGTCTGCTGCTGCTGCTGCTCCTTATGGCATGTGGCCGTTGACTAGTTAAAACATCATGCAACACACACATACACACACACTGGAGTGGGCATGTACGTGGGCAGCGGCATCTGACAATTGAAGTGACACCGCGGCAGCAAACCCTACGAATATAATGTGATTGTTAACCAGGCGCATTGACACTTACTCTTCGAGCCAATACTTCAATACATACTCTGTCCCCTCCATCCCTCCCCCAACGATGCACCGTGCAACAGCAAATATTGTACATACTGCGAATATTTAAGTCAATAAATAATTTCACTGCATAAAGTGAAATTTCCGGGGCTGTCTACTGCCTGCTGCCGACTGTCTTGTGCCACAGCCCTCTGCATAATTACCAATCCAACTAACGGCAGTCTCCCTCCCTCCCGTATCGTACGTGCTTAACATATGGAAACTATAATATTTGTGACATTCGGAAATGCATTTTCCATTGCCATATTTGCCATATGAGAAGAAACTTTGGTTAATTATAAGCATTACACTCACTTTTATTACGCGTGCATTGATCGCTAGCAGACAAGAGGCAGAGGAGGGATAGAGCTTTAAGCACACGAAAGAATCAGAGATTAAGCAGGCGATGGAATGAGAGGCGGACAAGTGAGGAGGCGGGCTTTGAAATCGAAACGAAGGGAATGAGAGAGCAAGCCAGGGCCCGACACTGTGCTTGGGAGAGTGTTCTGCCGCTGCGCTGCCGCTCTCGCACACGAGTATTGGTCCGTTTTGCCTGCTGTCCACGCACACAGACGCACTAAAGCTCGATCGTTTATTTTCAAGAGAGGACGCACCACAAAGCAGGAGATTGCATTTGGATGCTAGCAAGCCTTTCTCTCTCCCTCTCTCTCAGCGGAGAAGATTAACCCATATACCATAATATATTTTTGTTGCTATTTAACGGTCTATGAAATCACTCAGAAGCGAAAATTATAGAGTGCGAGTGGAGTACCAGTACCAGAGTGCTCCCCATATGAATATTCAGTTTTTAAGTTTTCTCTGCGGCTGACAGGCAGGCAGGCAGGCCATTGACTGACCAGCAGAAAAGCAGTCTTTAAAGCGGAGATTAAATGGAGTAATTAGGAAAACGTGCAGAGGCAAACGGCGGACAAAACGGAGGGGAACGGAGGGGGAAAGAGGAGCAGCAGAAGCACATCAAAACCATCAAAATGCTACTTTCGGTCAGAAAGGTGAGCGGTGGCCCCATGCCCCATGCCACATTTAGTTTTGGCCAACAACTTACTTTAGCTTTCCTTTCGTTCCCGCTGCTACGACTGCGACGGCGACTGCGACTACTGCCTGCTGCTGCCGCTGCTGGGAAATTAATCTTTTTCTTTTTTTTTTTCGCTCGGACGGACAGGGTTTATCATATGATTAAGGCATTAGCCTCGGCCCAGGGGCCACGAAACTAAATCAACAGAAAATCGAGACAGGAAAATTATCAAGGGAAATGCATCATGAAAAACAGTTTAATCAATCTCCATCTTTCTTTCATAGAGAGAGAGAGGGAGAGACAGAGAGGGGCTGCTCTCTTCTCTTGAGAGTAGAACATGGCATGTAATGGGGAAACACTTTCCCTTTCGCTCTCTCTCGCTCGCTCTTACTCACACGCACCCGTATACGTACGCGTATGTAATCACGCTTTTAATACCGTTGTAAGCCGCCTCAAGCGGCCTAAAAGCAGGGCCCAGGTCCCAAGCTTCAATGCTGGTTCAATGCCTGAAATGATGCCTTAATGATTGGCCCCACAAAAGCGCGAGCGACGGAGCAACTTCCTCGAATGCATTGTCTGTTGCCACAACACACACACACGCACACACACACACACATGTGTGTGCCTGGGGCTTGGGTGGGGGTAAGGTAACAATTACCAGAGACCCACAACCCATCCACAATGCTCTCTCCCCCTGCTATCTCGAAGCAAAGCTGGCGTTAAATTAATGCTTTAATTTCTTTTGACTTTTAACTTTTCAACTGCCCCACCCCGCCCCACCCCTCCCTCTTACTCTTTCCTACCCTTTCTTTCGGGTTTCGTGTCGAACAACAATTGGATGGAAAAGTTTTCATTGAAAAAAGTGATCCCCAAACAACCGCCTGCCCCTCCCCCCATCTGCTGGCTGTCTGTCTTCTAAAATGCGTGAGGTCCACTTTTGTTTATACAAAAAACACCAATCTTAAGGCAAAGCAAATGTTGCAAAATATTTGCTCTGCAATATGGAGCACAGCCAAAGATAATGATACTTCTCCGTCTTGCAGTTGGTGGAGGCTTCACTGTAGGACTTGTGTCTGCTTCTATATATACACCACAGCGATATTCTCTCATGCTGGGGGATGTGGAGTCTGTGTCTGGCCAATAAAATGTTGTGTCTGGCACTTGATCTCTGCCCAGCAGCCCAGCAGATGCCATAAGGAAGCTAAAGAGTTGCATCTTTAATGGCTTCGAGAGCAGCAGACGACCACTTGACCAGGGAATGCCACAGGGTCTCCACCCTTTCACCCCCTTCCTCCCCTGCCGCAGAGAGGCACAAATTTCTTCAGCAAGAATGCTAATCGATTGCCTAGAACTTTGTTAGTTATCGTGTAATCGATTGAAACCAAAAGTTTCTCCTCCTCCGCTGCTACTTCGTTCCCCCTTCTTCAGCCACGCCCTCATGCCACAGGCACTGCAGTGCAGTGCAGCATTTTCCTTGACATTTTTCAGCGTACAAACGGCGAAAAACTGCACAAACTTTTCCAAATTACGTGGGAAATGAAGAGAGAGGGAGAGAAAAAAGGTCGAAGGCAAGGCAAGGTCTTTAGAACAGTTTTCAATTCAATTAAATGGAATCAACATTAAATCAACAAATAAACAAACAATTAAAACGGAATTAAAACAATTGTTTTGGTGGTTCGAAATGGGGCAGAGGGAGGGCAGGGGAGGAGATAATTTTGATGGCTTTGCGGGGCAACATCTCTTTATAGAATTTCATTCCATGGATTCGCGTGGGTTGCAATCGAACACATGTCTCTGTCCCCAAAACAATTCCAAAATGGGATTCCAGCTAGTAGATTCCCATCAATGATGGGAATTACAGGCAGTTATGATTACAAGAAGGAGGAGGGGATATGCCAGAGATGTATATTCAAATGTGTATCAACAATGGATGGAAAGAAGGAGCCAATGGACGGGCAACTATTCCCCCGATGATCGCATGTCTGCGGTGCATTCAATGTGGAATGCAACTCCAACTCCTCACCACCCCCTCCTCTTGGATCGGCCGATAATGGTCAAGTGCAGTGCGTGATTCAGACTCCGGGGTCCGGACTCTCGTTGGGTGTTTGCTTAGCCATTAGCCCAAAGTCGAGAGCCAAAATTGGGTATCAATTTGGGCTTTGATCGGTTTCGGCTTCGGCTTCGACT